GCCGCTGTGAGTGGGCGTGGGCAGCAGCTGGTGCTGATGGCAGGGTGTCCTCCTGATCCACGGAGCCCATGTGGTAAACTTCTGAAGTGTAGACCCTACTCTAGTTCCCATCAAGTCTGACCACGCAGTGTGTGTGTAGCAGGGTACCTTTCACCTCCAGATGCAGCCTAAGGAAGCTTCCTGGCTCCAGAGATGCGGTGAATTCAGAGCTGTGGGTATGAGGCTGTGGACCTGTGAGAACTTCCCTCTTAGGGGAACCTGGAAAGGCCTTCCTGCTGTCTTCCTAAGGAAGAAGGAGCGGAAGGGAGGAAGGCCTTGCCCCGAAAATTCATCCTGGGAAGTGAATGAAACACACGCTCTGCTGCGTGCATGTGAGCGGCTCAAGCTACAGAGTGTCTCCTGCCTCTCGCAGCAAGAGCAGATCATTCACGTGCATGCTGGAAATAGGGACAGAACGGCCCATTCGTTTTCTCACTGTGAATTTTTTTTGTTTGTTTCTTGAGATGCAATACAGCATCTGTGGAAGATGAATGATTTAAATAACTTACACATCACAGATGAATGGTTGTAAGCGAAAGGACTGAGCATCCCAGTATTCTCAGTTGTACCGTCTTATTTCCCAGAAAGCTTTGTTCCCCATTAAAAACAATAAATAACAAAAACCAACCAAACCTGCTGCTGTTGAGTCGAGACCGACTCAGCGGCCATGGAGGCCCGGCAGAACTGTTCCACAGGGTCCCCAAGGCTGTGATCTGGAACAAAGTGGACTACAGGGGAGGGCTTCCTGTGGTTTGTGGGTCCACGAGGCTATCCTCAGCCCCCCAGAGCCTGCCTCTCTCTGCTGCCGTGAATAAAGGCCCAGACACCATGTGCACAGTAATCCCACAAACACGCACACACAGGCATGGCTGCCAAGTCAGTGCTGACTCATGACGACCTTGTGTGTTACAGAGGAAAACTGCGCTGGAGGGTGTTCTTGGCTATAATCCTTACAGAAGGAGCCCTGGTGGCCCTGTGGATTAAGCGTTCGGCTGCTAACCACAAGGTCGGCAGTTCAAACCCAGCAAGCAATCCTCAGGAGAAAGGTGAAGCTATCTGCTCCTGTAAAAATTTGTAGTCTCGGAACCCTATCTGACCTTCACTATGAGTGGGAACCAACTCAATGTCAGTGAGTCACCCTATGGAAACAGGTCTCCCGGTCTGTCTTGTGCTGCACCACTGGGTGGGTCCGAACATCCACCTTTAGTTGAGTTGTTAAGTGATGGCGAGTCGATTCTGACCCATAGCGACCCTGTATAGGGTTTCCAAGGAGCAGCTGGGGAGCTTGAACCACCAACCTTGCAGCTCAAACGACTTTGCAGTCTGATGCATTGCATTAGCCCACAGCGCCACACCAGGACTCCAGGAACCAAACATTTGTGCCACCCAGAGACCTGATTTTATGCATTCCTTTATTATTATTATCCGTTGGTGTTGTTAGGTGCTGTCTGGTTGGTTCCAACTCAGGGCAATCCTCTGTACAACAGAACGAAACGCTGCCCAGTCCTGAGCCCCCCTAACAACTGACCTACTTGAGCCCATTGTTGCTGTCAGTCCATCTGGTTGAAGGTCTTGCTCTTTTTCTCTGACCCACCACTTCACCAAGCATGATGTCCTTCTCCAGTCACTGGTCCTTCCTGACAGTGTGTCCAAAGAACAAGCGACAAAGTCTCACCATCCTGGCTTCTGAGGAGCACTCTGGCTGCACTTCTAACACAGATTTGTTTGTTCTTTTGGCAGCCCATGGGACTTTCAACATTTCTTCACCAACACCATATTTCAAATGCATCAGTTCTTCTACGGTCTTCCTTACTCACTGTCCAGCTTTCTCATGCATATGAGGTTATTGAAAATATCATGGCTTGGGTCAGACACACCTTAGTCCTCAAGCTGACGTCTTTGCTCTTCAGCACTTTAAAAAGGTCTTATGCAGCAGATTTGTGTCATTTGATTCCTTGGCTGCTGCTTCCATGAGTGGTATCATTAATAATCGTCACTAGTTCTCAGAGTCCATTGGACATGGTCCTACTCTCCTCTTCTAGCCATATTCACTCACTGAATCTTTGTAAGTACTCTGTTGTTCTTCCTATAACAGAGATGGTTATTGGTAATTGGCCTCATTTTAGATTACTACTCCCCTTTCAATGGCAAAGAGAGGCTAAGTGGCTTTTCCAAGGTCACACAGCAAATAATGGCAGAGACATCATTTCAGTGCTGGTGGCTGGGTCCAGAGAGTTTCTTCTTAGCCATTCAGAAAGAAAGGAAATTGTTGCCTTTAAATCTTTCTAATCTATGGCAACCCTGTAGATGTCAGAATAGAACCGTGCTCCACAGGGGCTTCCATGGCTGGTGTTTCCGAAGTGAAATGTAGATTACCAGACCTTTATTCTGCGGCACCTGTAGGTAGATGTTAACCTCCAACCTTTCAGCTACCAGGCATGCATTAGCATTTTGCACCACTCAGGGACTCTGTAGCCACTAAGCTGTGTTCAACCATGGAGCACTGGTTTCGTGCTGGCCGCCAACAGTGCTTCACATTGGATTTAGTGAAGCCCCTCTTGTCAGTTGTAGTTATTAAACCTTCCAGAGATGAAGGAGCCCTGGCTTAGAGTCTGGGGAGCTCAGTGATGTGCAGCCAGCCAGCAGCCCGGCTGGGATTCCCTGTTGTGTCTTAGAAGCCCCCAAGTTGACAAAACACTTTGGGGTCTACACAGGCTGCAGAGCCTGATCCCTTAATCAAATAAACCATGCTGGCGTCCTGGGCTTGCTCATCAGCCGTTCCATATTTGGCAGCCCCATAATCCACCCCCTCTATAGCCTTTCCACCAGTTAGCGGGGACAGTGTCTGTCAGTAAACCCGCCTCAGTTCATGACGACCCCATGCACAACGACGTGAAGCATGGCCAGGGCTCCCGCCACCCCCACGGCCCATGAGGGACCAGATTATGGTGGTCCACGGGCTTTTTATTGGCTGGTTTTCAGAAGTGCATGTCTGCATGGGGTACACTGACTAGAAATCGAAGCTGGGTCCCCAGCACAGTGGGGGGGGAGGGGGGGGGTTGTATACCAAGTCGGCTCCAACCCATAGCGACTCCATATAGGGTTCCCAAGGCTGTAAATCTCTATGGGAGCGGAAAGCCTCATCTGGTGGATTTGAACTTTTGGCTTTGCAGTTAACAGCCCAGCTCATAAACCACTTCGCCACCAGGGCTCCAGCATGGAAGGCGACAGTTGTGCCACCAGGTTTGTGTCACCTGCAGAAAGGCAGAGGCTTACATACTTGCAGAATTTGTTGCAGCATTTCAGTACCCTCTTGCACGTGTTCTCTGGCCTGTGATTTCAACATCGCTGTTTGGTGTTTTGAACCGAAGGTTCTACAAACAGGACAAGACTTGTGTCGTCGCAGGTGCCAGTTCCCTGCTTGTCCAGAGTCCAGCATTTGTGAGATGCTTTGCTTTCCTTGCTGGCTGTTGGCACCGACCCCTCCTGAGTAACTTCCTTCTCCAGTATTCGCAAGATAAGGTCTGATTCCAGAAAAAATAAGCAGGAGCATTAAAGAGCTGCTTTTTGGGAAGTGCCATCGAGTCAGTTTTGACTCACAGTGACCCTATATAGGCTTTCCGAGGAACAGCTGGTGGGTTTGAACTACCAGCCTTGTGGTTTGCAGTCCAGTGCTAACCCTACAGCACCACACCAGGAGCCCAAGGAGGTTAGAGGGAGTCAGAATCACCTAAATCTATGTGAGAAAAATCTTCAGGGGCACTGGTTGTGTTTTTAGTTCTATAACCAAAAAACCAACTGGTGCCTTTAATGATCTTTGTGCCATTAAGTTTAGGTAAGTCTGACTCCCTCTGATCTTGTCCT